TTAACCATGAACTGCTCATCCATAGGCTCTGTTATTGTTGTCTTGGAGGAAACCTTTACTAGTTTTATTCCTCCCTCACAGACTGTCATCATATTACTTTTCTTGGTGCGACATCTGACTCACTTCCAGCAATTTCAGGAGTCCCCTAGAGGTCAATCCTGGGCCCTGCTTTGTTTCTGTTTTGCATCAGTGATATTCCAAATATAGTTACAAAACAAAAAATCACAATGTTTGCAGAGGACACAGTTGTTCAAGGAGATAAAATCAAACGATACCCCAGCTCTCCAAGAGAATCCAACCAACTTAGAATCCTGGTTCATCCCATTTGATGCCTCACTTAAGAAGAGCAAGTCTCACTCTCACTAAATCTCACATGAAACAAAGCCTACCATCAATGTTTACCACATGAATGGTTTCATCTTGGAGTCAATCAATGTACTTAAGTGAGATTTAGAGTTTCGGTTTCTTCAAACTGTATTCATGTGCAAATAAAGGGCTCACATAGGCAAGAAGGAGCTTGACAAGTACTAAAAGCTCCTCCACAAGGTAACAAATCTATCTTGCCTTGATAAGACTCCATTTAGGGTATGCTACGCAGATCTGGGGACCACAATTGGTCCAGCTTTTCTTGAAATTGGAGAGAATACAGAGGCATGCATGCTTCAAAATATATGCTTTGTTTACCATTCTCTTTTTCAAATACTTACATTTCATGATTGTAGTATCTTCAATTACTACCACTTAGCTACCAGCAAAAGCAGTTAGATATAATACTATTTTTTAAGTTTACAGATGAGAAGCTGGCAGTGGATCCCTCCACTGTTCCTGTATTGCACAGTACAAGAAGTTCAAGGTTGTCTTGTAATTGGAACATTTCTAAGTAGTGGAAATCAAAAGGTAAGACAACAACATAACTCTAATTTATTTTGAGACCCACAAGAACTTGGAACGAATTAGCAGATGCTCTACAAATGAGAATAGACCACCTCAAGGAGTTTAAAAAAGTGATGCTGGACTATGACACAACAACTTTACATCAAATGTACAACACTGATAACCCAAGAACATATAAAATGGGCTGTAGCAATTGCAATGTACTGCAACAAGCAATTTGAAATTCAGTATTTCTTGTTGCTTTTCGATGATTTTTATTAGTTATATACTTTAATATCTAGTTTTTAAAATCAATTTCAGAATTTTATTGTGTTGTAGTTATTGGTCATAATTTTTTTCCAATTTGGAGGCCCAAGATGTTTATCTTAAATACCTAGAATTTTAAAAGGCTCCTGATCAGTTTAATAGTAGATTGTAATAAAGGGCTTGCAGAATGCACTGTTGGTATTTCTTTTTATAACATACATTTCCAATACACTGAATCAGACTTTAATTGTCCACGGTAGTTGACAAATTGACTCACCACAAGTTTGAATTGTGCCTTAACAAACCAGACCTCGAGGGGGGTTGAGCAATATGAGAACATGAGTAGCATAGGAAAATGACATCATAAACCTTCCTCATTCTTAGAGTGTGAAATGGCCAGAAGTCCATTTGCAGAAGATTACACAATACACTAAGAGAAAAACCTCTGGACTTATGAGTTCACACATCCTGAATACCATGGACTCTAAGTTCTTGACTAACCACCGACAAAGAGTTCAGGTACTTGACTTGATCTCTGACTGGCTTCCAATTAAAGCTAGTGTTCCTCAAGGAGCAAAAGTCAATGAATACTGTTTTAAACATGGATCAACAATTTGAATATCTATACACCCAAAACCTAAATCTGGAATAATGTCAACAATGAATCTTTGTCCAAATAGCTTGAAAGAAACAATAATTAAAGCATCCAATCAAGTCTTGATACCGTCATCTCTTAGAGCTATAGTAGTTGGATGAAACTCAATGCCAACCATATCGGTGCTATGGTTACCAAAGCTTTTAAAGATCTCCACATGCTCTATGTATTGAGCAGAAAAGGCATCGAGGTTAAAGACTCAGTTACAATTTATATATCCCTGATACGATTTGCAATTGCAAATTGTTGTGCAGTATGGCACCACGCTCTTACCTCTTACCACTCTCAAGAGGTAGAATGTATACAGAAATTCACCTTCAAGATCATCGTACCTACACTTTCATACAAAGAAGCTCTCCAATGTCTACAACTACCCACATTAGGTGAAAGACAAATTGAACTTTGCCTGGATATTCTCTGAAAGATACCAAGGAGACCCACTCTCCAAACATCTCACTACAATGAGGACGTCTTACGAACCATTACCAAGCAAAGTATATAGCACCAAATCACAGAACTGAAAGATTACATCATAGTTTTTTCCAAGTACAACTTCATCTTTTAAAAATCAATAGTATATTACATAGTAAATATAATAATTTTATCTTTACATTTATGTCCACTTTTAAAATTTAATGGCACAACATTGTAATTCATGTATATGCAAGAATGTTGATATTAAACACACTATTATTGCAATTATTA